TGTGTGACTACGAATGAACTCATAGAAGAGCGAAAGGATGGAAGCGAACCCTGCGCATGCGTAGCTGGTTTTTCTGCGAAGTTGATCGACCTCCGTTAACGAAGACAAGAAAGCGTCAGCTTCCAGACCCAGACTCATCCATTATTCCATGCCGTCTATGCTTCACTTGAGCCCCTTAGCAGCTCAAGGGTAGCAGTGTTGATGGAGGGCTGGTGAAGGTCAATAACGCCGGTGGCATGTCCAACATTTTCTGTTGATCCGGAACCTAAAATGAAACTCCAGACCCTAAGCCTCAGCACCAAAGCCCGACAAGGCAACCTGGCCCCGCACACCGAGAGCACCGTGTTCGCGAGCCATGAGACAGCATCGTAGATGGCCGATCTTGCCTGGACATCTCCGAGTTTCTGCTTTATGACACCGGTTTGAGCCGTGGGCTTCTTGCTTGCCGATAACACTACCACATGATGCCACCTTCGTTTGTACCAACACCTTAAGTTCGAAGTGTTCATCCCGTCATTGCGCGTGCAAAACATCTTCCTGCTGGCTGCTTAGTCTGCACTCTCGTCGGTCCTGCTCTCAGGCACTCATCTCCACAAGCCAAGCTCCACCCCTTTAATGGTGGTGGTCTAGCAGTAGGGGAAAGATGTCCGCGGGTCTGCACTAAGGCTGATTCGATAGGGTCTTGATCGGAGGCGACACACGCGAAGGCAGGGGTGTAGGAGAAGGGGCTTCTTCAATAAAGGATCAGAGTGCCCAAAAGTCATTTACTCCCCAAAAACTCACCCACATTGCTGCTATCGACAGAGGTCAAATGCAAGCTACAGTATGGAGTTTGGACCGATGCATAAACCGTCGACAGATACAACTGATCGCCACAATCTCAAGTCTGTGCAGTGTCCAGGAATTGTGGTGAATGTGCTATTGCTTATGCTCCGCCGAACAGGGCGAGACACATAGAGGATCAGCTAGGACAGCTTCGCGTGCTTACGTTAGAGCCAGTTCGTATAGTGAAACCAAAAAAGCTACATGGGTACCTGCATTCACACTTCTTGAAAACAACCCAGAGAAGTCGGCCAAGCTTCATTGTCAGCGGTGGCTTCGGCAGTTGACGCGATCTGCTCCTCGCTACATGCTGGCAGACAACGCGTGCCCGCGCCCTAAACCTAAACCCTAAACCCCCCTAAACCCTAAACCCTAAACCCAAACATCCCCTTTTCAGCACTTGCTTTGGTCATTGGTTGTATGCCGGCAAGTTGGACTCTCATCAGGAGGCCTGGCCTGGCGTCTCCCTAAACCCTGAAGCCCATTTACACCTGGGCTACGCAGATCCTGGAGACCCTAAACCCTGAAATAGAAGCCTAAATAACTACCGATAGTAGTTTGAGGGGTTCCTTCTTATCAATTATGGTATAACATGCCCCCAAAACCCTATTCAAACTATTAAGGCCCCTACATTAAGCCTCTAAATCACTGAACCCCACAAAAACCCTATTCTGACTATTAAGGCCCCCACATTCCATGAAGCCTCTAAACCCCTGAACCCCCACAAAACCCCCCCAAAAGCCCAGCGCGCCTCAGTCCACAGCCAGGGCTCCCCGGGCTGGGAAGGCGCAGACGCCTCCTCGGCCTTTGAGGATACCGGTATACACACACACACACACTTTTTTTGGGGGGGGTTTTTGAGGTAGAATTTAGGGTTTGAGGGCTTAGGATTTAGGGGGTTTGGGGTTTGAGGGTTTTGGATTGAGGGGGTTTTTCTTGCCTCCCACATGGCTAGGACGAGCCCGCATTGCAGGGTTTAGTCAAAGAGAACAAAGGAGGTTGGCGTTTTCGCGACAACACCTTCAAGCCCCAACTATACATGTCGCGGCTTGTTTGGCAGAGCACTTCAAAGGGGGTTCAGGGTTTGAGGTGTAGAGCTTGGGATAAGGGGCCTCAATGTCTAGAAGAGGGTGTTGGGGTATACTCGACTATAACAATGAGGAGCCCCAAGGAAGTCCCAAGGACCACTACTAATTCTTCCAACCTGCCTCCCCTCTCCCCGAAAGGAGTTTAGGGCTTGTTTCGTCTTCGGGCTGGTCCTCTCGACGGTTTGGATTTGGGGTTGTGGATGAAGCGAATGGGGCGGCAAGTTCCAAAGTCCTCGAGATACGGACCCTCGGCAAAGCCGAATGTTGTTGACCTTTGCCCTTCGCTGCCAATGGAAGATGCAGGTTGGATGAGGGACACGGAGCGAAGTTCGACAACTGCCCCTGATGCTTTCTAGCTGCCATGTCATTTTCGAAGTTGCATCGTTAGCAAGGTCCTGCAAGCACGGCAGGTATGTCGGCTCCCAAAATTCCCGGAGTAGCGTTTTCCCTGCGAAGCCCTTGCTTTGTCTTTTGCTGTGTCGGGCTCTGGCTGTCGATGTCTGAGTAAGACATAAGCGCACTCTTCGAATTTCTGCACCAGAAGTCGCAGAATATGGAATCAAAGCGAGCACCAACAGTTCGCAATGTCTACCAGCTAGGCCACTTGGTAGACAAACATCGCCTCCCAACAGCAACGTCTATGTGCAATGACACACCCCAACACATCTCGTTGCCCTTTTAGGGCTGAGCTCTAGATTACCAATCTCATCATAAGCCTCCCATAGCCGCCAAAGTCCTCCTTGGACAACCCTAATGTGCCCGAACACTTTCTCTATGCGATCAAACCAAGCCCCTTACACCATGCTAGACTGGATCCGGCTTTGCCCCAGTCGCGATAGGTCGTCTCAACTCCGTCCGTTCGAGCAGGTTAATCCTAGTACTGAAGAACCGCCGATAGACGAATGCTCCCTTTCAAAGGGTTGTCTGCTAAGGGTTTTACACCCACTTTCTGCTTGAACCCTTGGAAAGACGGCCCGCCCTTCAGGCAGAAGCGCCGGAAGTTCTGGAAGCATCTGGGGGGTCTATGCGCTTGGGTCGAGCTGTTTCAGAACTTCACGGACACGTACTGTCTGGAATAAAAAAACCACGGCAGGAGTCGTCATGCTGCCAACCTTCGCTGAGGCATCTCTGAGCCCGGTATTCTGCAGGGAAGACTTAAGCAACTCGCGGCAGAAATGATCTCAAACCCGCCAACAAACAAAAAGAAGCAGCAAGAGTCTCTGTGTCCGTGTCTTCGTCGCGTTAGTATTAGTGGTCGTATTAGTGGTGGTAGTAGTAGTCGTCGTCGTCGTCGACGGTGACAGTAGCAGTGGCAGCAGCGGCGGCAGCAGCAGAGGTTGTGGCAGCCGTGTCAGTGACAATCAACACGGGAGAGGAAGCAACACTACTTAGACTGATGCGACTAATTATCAGGGTCCTCTTGAAAGAAGCAAGCGGATATAGCAACGATCGATCATGATACCGGAATCGGGTCTGAAGATTGGAAAGTTAAATTTTCAGGGTATCCTCACCAAGTCAAGTAAAGACGGGCCCTCCTGACACACAGCAGGCAAGATCCTTCGCATGCATCCGCTGCATAAACCTGCAACCTTGAGCTCAAAGGCTTCGAAAAAGGAAATTCTGTCGTTACTCACTCAGTCCTTACATCCTCAACCTTTTGACCCAAGCATCCTTTAGAATTGCAGCTGAAAGATCCGGAAGGCCTCTCTACTCCGAGCTTTTGATGGGGCCAGTCCTGCCGAGAGGATTTTGGAGTTCCGTCAGCTCAGAGCCTCTGTAGTTCGAGTCTCGTCCACTCGGGGATCTTATGCTTCTTGTGCCGAGCCACTCGCCACAGGGAGGGGTTTGGGGTTGGTGTGATGATTTCTCGTATCCTATGCGGGCTTGTCTTGCTTGCGCTTCTGTTGCCGTGTTGAGGTTGTCTGGACAAGGATCCCTTCAAGCTCTGGCGTCTACCATCATCGCCCCCTCGGCTTCGCTACCACCGAAACCGGGAAGAAACATCCCTCGATTTAGGGTTCAAGTTTTTGGGACGAAGTTTGCCGCTTTAGGATGTTATGGTCAGCGTTCTGACCGGGTCGGCCTGTGGCCGAGACGTGCAGGTCGTCCAACTGGCTTGCGCTTCTCCGAAGTGGAGGGCACCTCAGTTCGATCTCCCGGGAGGCGGGCCTGTAAGGTTCAAAGCGCTTGAGACGAGACACTCAAGGATCTTGCTGAAACTTGGCTTTTGTTTGGGACGGGTTTCGGATCCAGTTGCCAGTTCGAGTCCAACGAATAACGAAACATGCGAGCATGTGCTGGCACGTCATTCTCTCACTCTTCTATGCTGTACTGTACTATGTCCCTATTGCCTGTTTGTCTGTCTGTCGGTCTATCTATGTGTTTGTCTCCACCAACCCACCTGCCTGCTGCGCGACTCCACCAACCCCGACCTAGCACAGCTCACTGCCAACCAATCAACTCTTGCCCTATATGCCCTATCGCACCGAGTGGACGCGATGGGCTTCACCGATGCATACTTCTCTACATAGTAACAATAATTATAATACAGCATCATTTTTTCAGCAACGAACTGCGTTGCGACACCAACACATGCTCCCACAGGGCAACGCTAGGCTTCTGATGAATCAGAACATGGGAAACTCCAAGCACAGGGATATCCCATTTAAAACAACCCTTGTAATGAAGCCCCATATAAGGCAGCGATATCCATATACAATGCTGATGCTTATGTCCCTTCGAGGACAAGGCGCCCAAGTCTCCGTTGTTGGCACCTCCAGCTCCAGCACCCTCCCGTGCACGGCCGCCAGCCGTTTGGTCCTGCTCCCATTCGCTTGAAGCTTTGTAGCCCCTTAAATGATTAATGGTAAACCCGTAGGCCTTGAGCCGCATTTCGGCCTCAAGCCCGGACAAGAATGAATCGAAGTGAAGTGTTGAGGCCAAGGTTTGGGGGAAGGCGTGCGTGGGATCCTCGGCACTTACACCACAAGAACCTGGAACATCAATGAATGACTACTCCCCTGAAGCACTCAACACCTGGAGATATCTAAGCCAACATTGAAAGCGCCACTTAGTGCGTCACAGCCCATCCTGGACAAGGTGAGCACTGCAGTCTCGGCCGGGAGCTGCTGCAGCAGTTGACTAGCCTCCTGCAGGTGTTCTCCGATGCCGAGGACTCACACCCATTGATGCCCAAGAGCACGCGTGCGTCCGGAAGGTCTGGCTCATGCACTTAGAGGACTGCGATACACCGTTGAGTGAGCCGACAGCCGAATTAGCACTTGCAAGCGAGGGTTTCCAAAAGCATGGCAGCTTCGAGAAATCTGAACCAGAAAGCTTACGTAGTCCCTGGTGCTCCTCGGCATCCAGACTCGCTAGCGGCTCGTCCAGCACTGCCAAGCTCGGTCCTCGAGGCTGTGGGTTTAAGACGATGGCAGAATGCCAGGGATTCAATGCGAATACGCTCTCGAACTGGCAGCTCAGGGTTTCGGGTTTCGCGGGTAGGAGGGTCTTGTCACGCGTTGTGGAAATGCTGATTCGTCCAAGACGAATCCTACATGTTGGGAGCGTCCTCGCAGAAGCACCCGCGCGAAGGACAGCCGCTGCTGCTGCTCTTGTGAGAGAAGATCCTGCCGAAGTGGCTTGTGATAGAGGACGGCCTCTGCATGGTCTAAAGGGCTGTCGGTGTAGAACCCTGTAGGGTGCCCACCAAATTCTGTCGCCTCCCAGTTCGCAGCACGCTCGGCTGCAGGAAGGAGCGACTGCAGTCCCACAAGGGGCAGAACCAACTCAGCATCTCCTGCGTGCCAAAGGAAGGTGCTGAAATACTGGGTGCCCTCTTGAGTTATTTTTTGGCACCTTTTTCTCCGACTGCAAGTGCAGATGGAGAGCCTTCTTGAGTTTAGGGTTTACGGTTCTGAGGGGACTTGGGGTCAAGCTGGTATTGACGTTGATGCAAGCTTCGCACCTGATCCTACAAAAAGCCATGCCCCTCAACCTGCAAACACCATCGAGCCCTGGTCCTTCCCTATGCCGGAACTGGATTTAACTCGTCTGACCATGCCAGGCTTCAGTGTTTGGCTTCAGGCCATCACTACCCATCAGAATTGCAGCCTGCACTGTTGATTGAGGACAGACGAACTGTAGTTCCAGCACTACCACTGTGGATCATCATTCTCACCATGAACATCATGATTGCCATCGCCGGCATCATCATGACCATCATTGATGCTGAAGTACTGATGTCAGCACGGTCATCATTGCCGTCATTGCTATGCTGCTGTACAATCACGCTTGCCGTGGCCTTTTTTGCCTGTCTTCCTCGAAGAAGCCCGAAACACTGAACGGAAACGCCTAAACTTAAACGTTCAGCCTGAATCCTTTAACCCAAGCCTTTTTAACATCAAACATTAAGCATAGAAGTTATAAACCAAGGCGTACACATGCTCTAAGAGCGCCTTCAGCAGGCTCTGGGTAGCACAGCAGCTGTCGCAGGGGCAGTGACGGAAACCTCTCTCTCTTTCTGCCGAAACGGCAGGGAAGCGCGAAGGCTTCGAGTCTCGACAACTTTGCACTACGAGACTCTATATGCCTTCGAAGACAGGGCTATGCAAGACTCCCAGTACGAACCATGGAGGCTCCGGCAAACACAAGGTTAACAAGAGGGGACTATCAAAAGCAATGCTGTCACGGTAACAAAGATACCATGGTATACCACTCCGTTCGCAAAGAGTTATAGCAACAGCAACGTCAGCAGCGTGAAGATGAGAAGCGCAATGCAGTGAACGTTTCTGGTTCAATACTGGCTCCCTGAAGGCCTATCTGCCAACTGGTGATGCCCTGGCAATTCAAATCCCAAAGACACAATCCTGGGTTGGAAGCCCTCGATAAAGGCCGTCTGCACTGCACCGAGGCCTGCAGCATCCACCACTTCGAAGCTCCGCAAGCTCTTACACCCAACCCAAAACCTGAAAGCCCAAGCCCTAAGGCGTCAACCCCGAAGCCCTCCGTCAACCCCCAAGCCCCCTAACCCGGAAAGATCCCAAAGCCCGAATCCCAATGCAATTCCCTAGACCCCAAACAGTAATCCTGGAACCCGAAGCCTACTCCTCGGTTCATCAATCGAAGGCACTCGAAGCCCTGCACGAACATAGCATCGGAAACGACCTCCACACCTGTTCTGGGGCTGACAATTATAGTAATTGGGGTTTAACGCTTATCGGGCCGATGAAGCAGGTGTTAAGGCTTCGGTTCGTGTGTTTCTCCTTTGAGCCTCGGGATTTCGGAAGAGTGAATATGAAATTGACGTACCACCCCACCCCACCGAAAACAAACAAAGGACACACAGACATATATACATATACATATACATGTGTGTATATATATGTATATACACACACATACATACATCTCTCGCAGTATGTGCGTACCCAAAGCCCTAGCGCCTAAAACCGCTAAAGACAGATACTACCCAAGCTTAACCGCTTGAATAATCCCCCAAAAGCAACCAAGCCGCTGCCGGATGTGTGACTCCAAAGCCCTGCAAGGCTGCGCAGGAGCCTCAGTGTCCAAACCAATTGTATGACTCGTACTCGCCGTGTTCAGTGGTGCTGTACTGCTAGGGGTAGTAGGAGCAGGAGTAACAACGGGAGTTGTAGTGTGGTAACAGTCTGTAAAAGTGGTGGTGGTGGTGGTGGTGGTGGTGGTAGTAGCGCGAGCAGTCGTAGCAGTGGTAGCTGTAGTAGCAGTGGCAGTAGCAGCAGCAGAGGTGGAGCAGGAGGAGAAAGAGCAGGAGCAGCAGCAGTGGCAGCATAGTAGTAGTAGTAGTAGTAGTAGTCGTCGTCGTCGTCGTCGTCGTCGTATTTGTAGTTTTGTCTCCCGCGTGGCAGCGTCGTCGTCGTAGTAGTAGTAGTAGTAGTAGTAGTAGTCGTAGTAGTAGTAGTAGTCGTAGTAGTAGTAGTAGTAGTAGTAGTAATAGTAGAAGTAGAAGTAGAAGTAGAACAAGTAGTAGTAGTAGTAGTCGTCGTCGTCGTGGTGGTGGTGGTGGTGGTGGTGGTAGTAGTAGTAGTAGTAGTAGAAGTAGAAGAAGAAGTAGTAGTAGTAGCAGAGTCGTCGTATCCATGCAGATCCAGAAGGCAGGGATTTTCCCCCACTGGGAGGGAGGACGATGAGCACGCGCTCCCCGGGCGACACGTGAAAGGACAGTGAGTTCAGAACCAGCCTGGCGGGGGCGTAGCGGTTCAAACAGTTTGGAAATTTGGTACGGTAAAGTTTTGGGGTCGCGCCTGGGGTTTGAGCTCGCAGGCTTACAGACTGAGCGACTTGATTTAACTTAAGTTTGGGTCTGACGCTTAGATATGCTCGCAGAGCGCGAACTTAAAAGAATCCCGTCGCTCACCCACAACCCCAATAACAAAATGTTTCAAGCTCAGTGAGTTTTTACTTTGGTGCTGCTCGGGACTCACGAGAATGGGTTCAGCCTCAACCCAGAGCTGAAACACCTCGACCCCAAACTGAAGCCTGACAATGTGAAGTTTAGAGTCATATCGCCTAGGCATCATCATGATCATCAAGGGCAGAGGGACACACACAAAAAAAAGGCAATTACCCCATCATTACTCTGCTCTTATGGCTTTCCAACCTTCTGCGGCTGCATGCGAGGAAGCTTAGCCTTCGACCTGGGGCTCTGGGACCTGAAACTCGAACTCGGAACTCCCTACTTGGAGGTTCATGGGTAGTTATAAGTGGATGTTATAAGTCCCCGAATATGGGTTATAAGTTAGAAGTATAGTTACCCTACTTATAACCCCATTAATATCTACCCCTGAACCTCCAAGCAGGCTGAACAAAAACCCTACAGCAGCATCCCTGAACTCTCTAAGAAAGCCTCCTCTCTCCGGCTTCATTTCAAGAGCCCCGGGGGCTGCCCTGAAAGATAGGATCTCACTGTAGTTTTGGGCCACGGAGCGGTAATCCAATACAATGTCTGAAAGACTTGGTGTAGGGTTTTCGGACATCATACTATATATGCAAAACGGGACTGTAATGGGACATTAAAGCTAATTGTTCAGACCACTACATTACAACAAGGATTTGATCGCATGCTTGGCAAGGAAAGATAGTGCCCGCTGCTGCGGTGCGTCAGGCATGGAGTAGCGTACCCACAGCAGTTGCATCGCATCTTCGCACTTCATCGGAGGGGATCAAGCCCGTCTAGACTTGTCCGAGTTTAACATATTTCCAAGAAAGCCCCGATTTCAGGACTCAAAATTTGGAGACACATGCCGGTGGCTTTCAGCTGCTCGAAATGGCAAGCCGCAAAACGCTGGCAGCATGCGCTGGGGAGGCGCTAAAACCTACACAAAATTGGATCACTTTCGGTTTTGGATAAGGCACCTTCCCCGGCACTGCAGCCTCTCAAACGGGCAGGGGGTCGAAATACCCACAGCCAACAAACACAGCATACTCTCATCCATCTGCGTCTGACATTGCGTACTCTTTCTACCGAACTAACTGTCTGGATATCAAAGTAACCTGAACCCAGAACCTACAGCCAGTGCAGGCGGGTCAAGAGGGGCTTCACAGACGCTCATTTGGAAATCCATCGCTTGCCCTCTCCATACCTTGCATGCTTTCTTTGGCTAAACTAAATAATTGGAAACGAAAGGGCGTTACAAGTTCTAGGCCCTAGAAGGCCGCAGGGCTTTAGGGTGCTCTGAGAGCAACTGCAACAAAAAAACCAACAGCTAGCTTTAACTTTGCACTGCAGTGTCGCCCAAACGACTCTAGCGACTCTAGACCCCCACAGCCTGTAAAATACAGAGCACATGCAAACTTCAAAGAAACATCGTCAACAAAATGGAACCCTGTTCCTCCCCAACACCCTATGAACTCTCGGGGGCCCAAGGCACTCGCTTTGGATGTGCGAACGCACCACCTTGGCCGTGTTTGTGGCCTTTTTGAGCTCGGGGCTGGTCCAGGGCCGGCCCATCTCCTTAGCCATGTCCGGTGGCTGCTGGGGTTTCTATCCAAATTTCCATCCATGATGTAGGGGCCTTAATTAATAGTTAGAATAGGGTTTTGGGGAATATTATACGTACGGAAATTGTAATAAGGAATCCCCCAAAATACTTTTGGTAATTATTTAGGCTTCTATATTCGGTGTTCTAGGGGATTTTTGAACACTCACACACCAGGCTTAGGGCTTAGGCTTCCTTTTCGGGCCTCAATAAGTGTTCGAAAAGTATATAAGAGTTTCTGACGCTTCTTTGAAGGATTCTCTCAGGTTCTGAGGCTTCTACAAGGTTGAAACTAGTTGAAACTTCCTGTAAGGTTGTAACAATTGTAACATTTCGGGTTTACATAGGAGATACAGGGTTAAGAAATGTTGTGCGGATCTTGCTGCTCCAGTTTCATTGGCGCATGTTGCTTCAGCGTTCGGCGGTTACACGGACACGGCTTGTTGGGATTAGGTGGCCTCGCCGGGGAAATGATACGATAAAGGGCTAGGGTGCTTGGGGCTTGAGTAACCTTGGGATCCGTGAGGTTTGCCTGAAGATATCAAGATCACAACGCAAAGATGTTTGCTGGAATACGACCCCCCCCCCCCCAGACACATATAAACCCATGGGTCTGCTACTCCTAAACTCTCGGACTCTCAACCCTGATTGTAGGGGCCTTGATTAGTAGATTCCGGTTTTGGTGTACAGCATTGTACAATATGTGATAGCACTAGTATAGCGAGGAAAAGAACCGTAACGGGATACGATGCACATTTACTTTATTGCTGGTATTAAGCATGCCTCTATAAGCTATAGCGGAACGCTGGAGCGAGCTATTCGGCGATACTACTGCTAACTCTTCACACTTCTACCCTAAACCCCCTCTTCTTCCCCAGGGCATAGGGGG